AGAGGGCCCACAAATACTGGACTGTCCAGGTGAAAACCGGACACCTGGCAGCCGAGCCTCCGCTCACCCTGCACCACGCCCGAGTCAAGAGCCCCCCGTGGGCCGCTCAGCTACACGTGGGCGGGTTTACGGGGGATATGCGGCTGCCCCAAAGGAGACACCCTGGGGCGGGCGGTGGCTTAGGCCTTGCCTTTACACAGGGCACGTTTCTAACCCCCGGGGCCACGGACCATGCACTGACTTGAAAATCAGACCACGCTCCCCTCAGCAGGGGGGGGAACCAGCAGCCGGGGGCCAAATCCAGCCCCCAAGGCCTGGGGCTCCCCCACAGCATCACTCCACCCCTTCTGCACCCTCAACCACTTCCTGCCCATCCCTGCCACCCCCAGCCTGCTCCTGCAGCCACCACCCTCCCAGATCCCCAACCCTCCGTGCCCCCAAGCCGGCTTCTGGCCAGCATCCACCCCACACTGAACCCCTCATTTTGGCCCCACCCTAGAGCTTAGAGGGGCCCACAAGATCTAGTAGCCGGCCCGGGCTCTGGTGTGCGAGGGGAATGTGGGGAGCGCCTGTCGCCTCCTCAGTCAGGTGGGGGGTTGTTTGGGGTTCTTTTGCCATGGCCAGACCCACGGCCTCTGGGGCACAGCCAGCGTGTGCCCTCACACTGGGGCAGCGGGGGACAGCTGGAGGGACGCTGGTTTGAACCTCCCGGCGAGGAAGCCAGCGGAGCTGACGTTTGGTAGGTCAGAGGCTCCTGGATGTAACCACCCTCCCCGGCCCAGGGGAGACTGGCCGAGCTCCCCAGCGCATGGGACAGCTGGGTCCCAGGCTCTCACAGACACACGGAGCAATCGAAAGGGGGCATGTTCTCAGGCCCAGGCCCCCGGCAGCCCCTCCAGGTCCCTGGAATCTCCCTCCCCACTCTCTGCCCCCGCAGCAGAGAGGCTGCGCGGCTCACACCCACACCGGGCAGAGCCAGCTTGCTGGATGCAGCTGGCCAGGGCTCTGCGGTGCCCAGTCGTCCAGTGTGACAGGAAGAGGAAGGGAGGCCCAATGGTCAGAGCAGCAGCAGGGGACAGAGGAACCCAGATTCCAATGCCTGCTCTGTCACAGACTGCCTGTGAGATCCTGGGCAGTCACTTCCTCCCCAGTGCCTCAGTTTCCCACCTGCACAGTGTGGATCGTGAGGCACTACGGAGATGAGGGCTAGATCAGTACCTGGCAAGGATGGCTGGGAGCTGGAAGGGATGAGCTGTTCCCTCGTAGGCGAGGCATGCGGGAACCAAAGAAGGAAGTATTATGGATGGGGAAACTGAGGCATGGAGCAGTGAAGCAGCTTGTCCAAGCCCTCGCAGCAAGGCAGTGGCAGAGCCACGAACAGAACCCGGGAGTCCTGGCCCAGCCAGCCTTCCAAGCCCTCCCCCCGCCCACACTTACCAGCCTTCTTGAAGAAGGACTCGGGGGGGCTGGGCATGTCGTGGATCACCTCGTAGAGGGGTTTGAAGAACCCAAACGTGTCCTCAGACGTCTCGCCCGCTGGGACCGTGTCGATGACCTGGAGAGAGCCCCAGGCGGAGGAGAGTAACAGCCTGGGGCGGAGCACGGGGGCTGGGAGAGGGAGGCCCAGCAGAGCTGCCTTGGGCAGGGTGCCTGGGGCAAGCGGGCTCCAAAAACTCTGCCAGGACACCCAGTGACCCCGGCCTGGGGCCCTCGCCAGCTCTGCCAGCAGCCTGCCCTCCCCACCTCCTGGTGACTGAATCCAGGCCCGCCTGAGCCAGAGCCCTCAGCGGAGCCAGCGTGAGCCGTGGGCCTGCTCGCCCCTAGCGCTGGCGTCGAGGCCGGGGATGTAGTCGTGTATTCGATTAACCGATAAGCAAACGCTGATTGGAAATGCCTAGAGTCTGTAGCATTACTCCCCTCCCCTCCGGCAGGACATTTCTGAGCAGGCCGGCCAGCAGCCCGGCTCAGTCCTGGCTCACGCCGGGTCCGGGACCTACCCCTGCTGCGGCTCTGCATTAGAAGTGCGTCAGGGAGCCGGGGGGGACGGAGGCCGGCGCAGTTGCC